ATCTTCTGTAGTTCAGCGGCAGAGCATCCGGCCGGTATGCGTAAGGTCTTATAAGCTCGAATTTTTTTTGCAGAACACGGAAATTTTTTTTCTGAGTAGTTTGTGTAGTTGACTGACTAACGTCTTATCAATCTCCTTATTAAAATGCTATACTCACAATTTAATATTGAATTAACCAATAGAGCACTTTTTCCGTGTTTACATAGCCTAATCTAAACAAGAGGAGGGTTCGGAGAGTTCAAGACAGTTATGCAAACGCTCGACTGCGTCTCGGGTTTGGATAACTTTCGAGACTTTTCCCAAACCCCCAAGTGTTTAGATGAGGCTATGTTAACACGGAAAAAGTGCTCTATTGCTTTTATAAAATATTTCTCAAAAATACGCGCGAATCTAAAACGTCACAACCGTGTCTACATACTCTCATCTTGACACACCTATCGACCAATGAGAGAACGCGTAGTATCTCAGTTATTTTGTAATATTGAATTGTTTCGATTATGAATTTTCACGCACAAGTAACAAGCAATGAAAGGTCTCTACTACCTCGTTCCCAGGGTCCTCTCTCTACTTTCTTGAGGGAGGAAGTGAGAAGACCCTGGGAACGAAGTTGAGATCTCTGTAGTGTCACGTCATCAATGTGGAATTTAATGTTCTTAACTCTTAGCGGACGATATCCTTTAAATAATCACGTGAAAAGAGACTTCTATTTGTCAGGGCATCCTGACGTTTGACTCTATTTCCTGTAGCTACCGAGGAAACCAAACGTAAGATGTACAGCTCAGTTCTTCTAATTGGGGGCGGTTTCATGTTTAATGGCGCCCAAATCGCTTTACAGTCTCGACTCCAGGCCAAATTACCCGCGTCTCACCGCAAACTCGTGGATCAGGTTGAAGTCATTGCCAGACCCAAGGTAAGTTGTTTCACTCCTGTCAGGTATTTGCTATAAACTGCGTTTGACTGAAAAGGGAATGTTACCTTTGATTGACGAAATAAAACTAAATATGGAAAACACTTTTTTTTTTTTGCGTTGGGACAACATTTTTGGGTAAATTGGAAAGAATCTTTTAGAAACTGGAATATGGAACATCTGTGTTTTCAAGTTAGTCTATACATGGCAATCCATGCGAGTGATTCCCATCCTCATTTCCTAATATCGATTCCTGCGTCTGTCAAGGAGTGTGGTTTTCAAAATCAAACCGTTACTATTGCGTGTCCTGTGGTCTATCTCCCGCCTTGTTGCCCACATGGGGAGAAGGAACTGACGATTTCCTGTGATCTTATAGGGCTATTACTGCAGGGTAATAATATGTCGGAAATTTAGTTTAAAAATTTGTGGCATAGAGTATTCATGGTGTCTCCTCGGACAGGAGCATAAGCAGAAACACAAGGGTCCAACACGTTGAACCTGTTTCGGAGTACGTGCGCATAGTCTTCTTTCCTCGGTCAAAAACTAATTTTAAGCAGCGATCAGTTACTGCACGTGTTTTCTGTCAACGTGTTCAAAGTGCAGCCACAGAATCTCGATTTCAGCGAGTGTTGGAGTTGCCAGCTAATTCCCCCCAAGGCTGCTTCAACAAAAATCTCTCCTTGTTCTTCAGATCTTTGCTTTTTCGGTATTCTCAATTCTGAAAGGAACTCAGTCCCGGTATTTGAGCTATTTTGGCCACGTACAAAATTACCCTTAAATTGAAGGAAATCTGAAAATAGTAGTTTGCTAACATACAAAAACACCACAGAGATAATAACAAACCATGAAGGAACAAGGATGGTTAAGGATGGCGAAGATTAACACGGATTACAAACGACGAGCCTGAAAAATTTAAGCTCAATTTTTGAACATGTACACACCGTGAAGTAGCTGCTTTAAAGGAGTCTAGTCCAGTTTTCGTACTTCTTCTAAGTTTTTCGTCATGTTTTTCCTGTAACAGGAAATGGATCCGCGGACGATTTGTTGGAAAGGTGGTGCTGTGCTTAGTATCCTGGACTCTGCTCAAGAATTGTGGATCAGTCAACGGGAATGGATATCGATCGGAGTCAGGGTACTACGGGAGAGGTCGCCTTTCATTTGGACAATCTGTAGTTAATAATCTTAGGCTACACTGCTTCTGAGG